GAAGCCGGCTGCTATTGTGAGCCATCCGTCTTCTGACCTAGGGATCGAAAGACATTCTTCCTGAAGTACGTTCCATATATTTGCACATACTTCTTTTACAATACCACTGATGGTTGCTATACCAAGCCGGTAACTAAAATGAAGATCTGCGAATGTTTGTCCAGTCGCAAGAAACCTAAAACCAAAATACACACTAATCATTTTATTTTCTTGTAGACAGAAGCATACAACAACGGTGGAAAACTGCACGTGACGCGTATGTTAGATGCAGAAATACATTTAAAAAACACCAGGTCTGGGGCAGGAGGTGGAAAGCTGAAAAAATATATATACTTCGACCTGATGGAATTTCTTGATAAACATCATGCGGTGGGCATCGAAGATTCACTTCAAAAAAGTCAATCCACAATAACTAATGTAACACCAAGAAGCGAAACCATAGAAGACACTGATGTTAACACAACGACTCTACCGACAATGAGTACAGCAAGTAATACTCAAAATTCAATAAGTTCTAGTACAGATTGGACTTCCCAAATCACTTCTCTTATTCCACCCAACTTCCCAGGAACTAAGAGAAACCGTCTAAAAAGGAATAAAAATAATGCGGAAAACGACGAATTTAAGAGGGAAATGGTAAAGATGTTTAAGGACAACACAGCCATGTTGCAAAATCACGATATGGCATTTTTTGTTTCTCTTTTGCCAATTACTAAAAATTTTACCATACAGCAAAAATTACATTTCCGCTCAGAAGTAATTAAAATCGCAATGGAAATAACCAATAACTCTACTTTAAATGTTGGTTATGGTCACCCTGGATCATCTACTGATTTTTATGGTCGCCGTGAATCTTCCATTTCCTCTATCATTTTAACATCACCAGCATCACAAGCAACTATCTTTGCAGATGGAGGTGAATCTCACGAAATAAGAGTAGACGAACACTCCAACATGCAAATCGTAAGCGTCAATTCAAATTCTGATTTATCAGATTATCTTAACCTTAAATAACTTTTTTATGCTTCTGTATATTTAAATAAACACTACTTAAAAAAAAGTTATTTGTGTGTATATATATATATGAAACTTTATACAATACGTACCTTAAAGTGACGGCCACTCTTTCCGTTGGTGATACTGGAGCTCTAAACATGTTTTGACGTTTTATATTTTATTCAAGTTTTGCTACTAATTCATCAAAACATCTGATAGACATTCTAAAGTAGTCGAAAAATTTGTCCTCGTGCTCTCGTAGTTTCGAATATAACGTGCTAAATTCTCCTTGTAACAGTCTTTGTGCAATTATTGGGTGAACATGATAGCGTCTTCTATTTTTATTTCGACTTCGTTTTCGAATATAATATCCGAGTATGATACAATTCCTTAACGCGTTCATTTTTATTGGGACTGTCATTGGCTGCTTCCGTTCATCAAGTAGCGAAGCACTGAACAAACAGCGAGCTGACTCATCAGCGCAGATTGTCGGTAGAGCACTAAATCCAGCCTTAATCTTTGCTAAAGTACAAATTTCAAACCGATGAATTTAACAAATCAGGAGACGTTATTTAAAAATTTAACATTTGAAAAACGGAATTTATCAACAAGAATGGTGGTTTCTGTTGTCTGAAGAGACGCACGCATTTTTATTTGCTCTCCAAAAAAATAAATTAAATCAACTTTTAACGAGTGTAAAAAAAATATTCCTTCCTGTCCAACCACTGAAGAAAACAATCGATCCTGTTCCTATCGAAAAAACTAATTTGGTCCCGTATTTGAAAAATCCGTTCCTGTCCAATCATCGAAGAAAACAATTGAATCCGTTCCTGCCCAATATTTTCAAAGACAACAATTGAGGAGTTTGCTGCAACAAGGAGGTATCTGACTTTTGTGGGCAAAATGAGTTACGTACCTTATCTTGTGGAAGTGGAAGCTCTCCATCGGTTGGTGCAACATAGATGTTTCACTTGGGCTTATTTTTAAGTGGAGGAAGTAGTTTACAGATACCCCCTACTTTTATTTGGCGCAACAAGGGTATACGGGCAGCAGATACATCGATGTTGCACCAAACGCCCCGGTGACGTGTATTAATCAAAGAGGCAGTTACACCTAACCTACAAATATTTGGGAACACGTATGAAGAGTTTTGATAAACAATGAGCGATTTAAGTGATTTACAATGTGAAAGTGAACCATTTAGTGGAGGATCTAGCGTTAATTACGAGCCCTCTGCAAGTGAGAGTGAAAACAGCGATAGAAATGAGGATCCTGTTGTAAAAAAACGAAAAACAAGAAATGAGTATAACTGGAGCAGAAATCTTCGAAAACGATTACTGGCGGAGGGAAAAGAACACATGAGTTCAAGGAATAAACTGAACCCTAAAAGAACCACGGGAAATGACTGTCATTGTAAATATAAGTGTTTTGAAAAAGTTTCGGAGGAGCAGCGTGCCACAATACTTCAAAACTTTAATGAGTTGGGAGACAAGTACAATCAAGATATTTATCTTACTGGGTTAATTATACGAAAACCGATAAATCTGAAAAAAAGTGAGGGCAAACGCAAAAAAAGTGCTAGTGAATTCACGGTAAGAATTTTTATTTTTTTTCAACTATATCTATTGTGTGTTCAACAATGAAACAGTATATACAACCTAAATGAAGAATAGGATTATTTCTAGATCTGAGTGTTTTATTTCAGGTTCGATTGGGTTCTTTCCGACACAGAGTGTGGAAGAAGGGGTTTTGCGCCATACATGGTATTTCAACTAAGAGAGTCGAGCGCCTTTCTTCACACATTGCCGTTAATACTGCAACCACAGCACCCCCAGATATGCGTGGTAAACACCACAACAGGCCAAACAGCATCTCCCCGGAAATCACACAGCATCCCATTACAGTAGATCTAAGAATATAAAGAAACATTACTTATCCCCTGAGCTCAACATCAAAAAGATGTATGAACTTTACTTAGAAAGATATGAACAAGATGTATACAAATACTGGTTCACCAATGATAAAAGTGCCCACAAACCAAAAGTCTCATATGATTTTTACTTCCGTTATTTCAAGAGTAACTTTAATATGACTTTTGGACATCCCAGGTCAGACACTTGCCAAGTATATGACCGAATTGAGAACCAGCTAAAGGGAAAAGATAATCTCTCTCAGGAAGAAATTAAAGCACTAGAAACGGAAAGAAATGTTCACCAAACAAAAGCAAAAGTATTTTTTGGTGACCTTCAAGAAAAGGCTAAGTTGGCTAAAAATGATCCAAGCATTGAGACTCTTTGTTTTGATCATGAACAAAATGCCCCTTTACCAAAACTGCCTGCAGGCGATGCCTTTTACTTGAGGCAGGTATGGATGTATAACTTTTGTATTTATTCTTCAAAACATGGCAAAGCCTATTTTTACATGTACGATGAGGTAACTGGCAAAAAAACTCCTAATGAGACCATTAGTTTTCTGGACCATTATTTGGAAAATACTTTAGATAAAGATGTGAAGACCTTGTATATATTTTCAGACAACTGTGGCGCTCAAAACAAAAACAAGAGTTTAATGCAATATTTGTATACTCTGGTGAGAAACGATCGCTTTGAGAAAATTGTGCACAGGTTTCCAGAACCTGGACACAGTTTTCTGCCATGTGACAGATGTTTTGGAGTAGTTGAGAAACATGTTCGTAAAATAGAGAGGATTTTTTTACCCTCAGAATACATTAAGCATTATAAAAATAGTAGCCCAAAAAATTTTATTGTGGTTCCTGTCACACAAAATATGATTTTTAATTTTGTTGCTGCACTTGACACATTTTTCAAAAAGACTATATACAGCAAAGAAAAGCACAAATTTAAAATTTCCCAGTATAAGGTCTTCGAGTATTCTGCTGAACACAAAACACAAATAAGTTGCAGTTTGACAGGTAGCTTTCTCTTATTCTATGATTTTGTTATTCAGAAACGCCCCAATGAGTGTCCTGTTCCACAAAAAGATTTATTATATGCTCAACCTTTAGCTCTTAAACATCTAAAATATGAAAACGTGATGCTACTTGCTGAGAAATACGTCCCTAAAGCAGATATTGCCTACTACACTTCTCTAGTCTTAGACCAAACATCAGGTGGTCATGAAACAGATGTCACCGATGACGGTGAATTTTCCACTTAAGAGTAAGTCTATTCGGTTATCCTTAAGATATAACCAAAATAGTTTTGTCAGAGTTTATTTTTAGTTCTGTTGTGACACTACTAGCAACAAAGAGGTATGTGCAACTTTGTTTTTACTCTATTAATCGAACCTGCAAAGTTTGTTTAACCCCCATTACACAAAAACAACCCATTACTACCGCACAACACTCTTACAACATTTTCTTAAGTTCTGTTTCTTAAGGAGGGACCCTACTCTGAAACTTTAAAAAAATGGAAAAAAAATTTATTGCATTTTTCGATAGGTTAAAGTGTCTAGAATATTGCCCCGAAACCGTTTTATGAAATTCGAACTCATTACAATGTTACAGCGAGATATCGACGGGCAGTTCGAGGCATGTAGAAAGAGCATTAAACCGACTTTGAGCGGAACTAATTCCTTTCTTATGATTCTTAATGTAGGTAACCAAATATTTGTAGGGTACTTTTTTATCCTATTTAGAAGGAAATAAAATAAAAAGTAGGCGTTGTCATCAGTGTTGTAACATGGTTGATGGTTACAGTAACCGTCACATGGTTGAAATATCCACGTGCGTTTTTTCGTTTTAAATTCGTTGTTTATATAATTAATTGTGTACGAAATGTCTCCTCGAAGAATCTGCCGTGATTCAAAAGGCAACAGAGATAATAAACCGCGGCCGATTAGCGTGAAACGTAAATCTCGTCCGCTGAATCGACATGAAATGGAACAGGAGACCGCGAGCACGAGTAAATCGGCAAAGAAACTAAAAATGAATGAAAAAATTGACATTGCAGTAAACGCGAGTTTCGGATACCGATTGATTAATTTTGTTTCGGTTTTTAATGCACTCAGTGACTTAGTGAAGTGTAAAAAATGTGACGGTGAAGTTACATTTTTGGAAGGCAGTATTCGAGGTCTTGGATTTAAGTTGATTGTGAAATGCAAGTCTTGTGAGCCATCTGGTATAGATTCCTGCCCGTTAATAAATTCAAAGGCATATGAAATCAATCGCAGAATCACATTTGTATTTCGATTATTAGGAATGGGTTATGCTGCGTTAGAAAAATTTTGCGGATTGATGGATTTACAAAGGAGTTTTACTGAAAAATTCTATAATGACATTAGCACCCACATTTTTGTGGCAGCTGAATCCATTGCGGAGAAATCCATGCAAAACGCAGTGAAACTTGAAAAAGAGGCAACAGAAAAAGGTGGTTTAACAGTTTCTGGAGACGGGACATGGCATCGACGTGGATTTTCATCACTTTTTGGGCTATCAACGTTAATCGGATACTATACCGGAAAAGTGGTGGATATACTAGTAAAATCATCATATTGCAAACAGTGTGAAACGTGGGAAAAGGTTTCTGCGACCCCAGAGTATGCGCTTTGGAAGGAAGATCACATGGACAGATGTCAAAGCAATCACGAAGGCTCGGCAGGAAAAATGGAGGTTAGTGCGATTCAAGAGATGTTTCAACGATCCGAGGAAAAATATGACGTACAATATCACAATTATATTGGTGACGGTGATAGCAAGACCTTTAAAGCTATATTAGATTGTCATCCGTATGAGAATGCTACAGTCATGAAAAAAGAATGCATTGGTCACATTCAAAAACGAATGGGAACCCGTTTGCGAAATTTAAAAAAGAAAACTAAAGGTCTTGGGGGCAAAGGGAAATTGACGGACAAATTGATAAATGAGTTGACAATTTATTATGGATTGGCCATTAGACGAAACACAAACAGCTGGGAAAAAATGAAAGACGCTACTTGGGCTACATTTTATCATAAAATTTCCACGAACGAACATCCACAACATCATCTTTGTGATTCGTCTTGGTGTTCTTGGTTACAGGCGAAAGAGAAAAATGAACTAAATAATTACAAACATCCAAACCCTTTACCTCAAAATGTGCAAGACGCAATTCAACCAATTTATGTTGACCTTACTGCCGAAGATTTGCTGAAAAGATGCGAAGGAGGCTTTACCCAGAACTGCAATGAAAGTTTAAACGCGCTCATTTGGTCAATCGCTCCGAAGACGAAGTTCTGTGGTAAGCATACGATTGATTTTGCTGCTAATACAGCTACCAGTATGTTTAACGATGTATACGACAGTATTCTTCTAATGATGCAATGCATGAATTTTGTTATTGGGACAAACTGCTTCAACCTGTGCAAAAGTTTGGACGAGAAAAGGCTGAAATAAAAAATTACGCCAGCACTAAGGAAGCGCGACAGAAGCTATTGGCAGCCAAAAAAGCTAACGAAGACAGCTTCCATGAAGTCGAAGGAGAGTTGTATGGTGCTGGGATAGCTGATTAATTAAATGGTAAAGATTTTAATCATTATTTATCAATTATACGACTTTAAACATAACTTTAAACTTTAAAGTCGTTTTTTTCAAAACAACATTTTTTCACCTGGTAGACACCAAATCGCTAAATCTAATCAGCCAATTTACTTATTTTTTTTTTGTTATACGTAACAATAGTGTATCTTCAAGGTAGCGTAGGATTTTTTTGATATTTTGATTACCCGATTTTTGGCGCTCAATTTAAATCAACTTTTTATAGCAAAAAATGAAATAATTTTTTCGTAATGCCGCCATTTTCTGAATTTTTCGAATTTCAAAAAAATCCTACGCTACTTTGTACCTATAAGCCTACAGATTAAGGCACTTTAACTTATATTGTTTAATCTTGTTTCAGTTTTGCCCGGCGGTGTCTACCAGCGAAGAGTAACAACGTCGCAATGCTCCGCTTAATCACTGATTATTAATTGTAATTCCATTATTTTATGATTAAAAAATTACTTTTTTTATAGTTTAAATATAGCTCTACAACGTACAAAAAAAATTGTTTTAGTTTCGTTCATATTTGGGGGAGAAAAATATTCGTAAACTTTGCTTGTTTTTAGAGCGCTCAAGGTACGGTCCCCCCTTAACAACATTCTTATTCGTATTTCATTGTCTCCTGTAAAATTTTACAAATTCCAGATACCTCTTTCTTGCAGCAGAGTCCTCAATTGAATCCGTTCCTGGTATAAATCATTCTTCTGGTGAAGAGAAAAATTGGTTCCCAATTCGGAATCCAACAGTTCCTGTCACGAAGTAAATATTATCCAGAGTTTGACCTCCAAAGTTTTCATAAAAACAAATTGGCTAAGTTGTTTTTTTTATAATTTATTGTTTTGTTGATTCAAACTTTAAAAAACTCTTCATACCTTCATACGAAAAGTTTTCTTGATAAGTTCACTATAAAATTTTGAGGTTAGGATTACAATTTCCCTAATTAATTTAATATTTCACGAGTTTGAAACCATAACAATATCCGAGTTGACAAATATTACTTCGTATTAACTAACCTAGAAATTTGTTCCTAATATTCAGTAAATTCTGTTAATTTTATCGACAACATTTCACCTTAAACTCTGCAAGTGTTTGTCTGGATAATGTTGCCAGAACCTGCTTTTGACCCTGAGATATAATTCGACAATTATATTTGAATATTTAAATTTTTCAATTTAATAAAAATCAATTTATTATTAAATTTAGTAATGTCATTTTATTAAAATAATTGTTTTCGAAAGAGGGGCAATTTTTCCGATCAAACTTGAAAAATCATTATACATAAAAAAAATCAAATATCCCATGAGGGTGTACAGGGTGGTTCAAATTCGATGTCCGAATAGGCTAACTCGGAAACTATAAGAGTTAGACAAAAAGTAGCTTACATGTCATGATCTCGTTTTTCGAGAAACTGCTAATGCCGAAAACCTCATAGCGCTATCGTCTTTTGTTTTTCCCCTAGAGGCCAAAATTGGAAATATCGTAAAACCAGCAAGTGCAATTATCTTCGTTATTATTATAGGTGGAGTATTATAACTNTTTAGGTAATACAATTTCTAACTCGATTTATTTTCTAATACCTCACGTAAATTAGAAAAAAATTATAGATTTAAAAAAATAGCGAAATTAGTACTCACATCCGATATAACCGGAAGTACAAAAAGAATGATTTCATGTCGTAATAATCCGTTTTAGCGACCTAACTATGCATTCCAAATGGTTTTCTTATATCACCAATAATAAAGAAAAATATGGGGGTGAGCCACTTTTGAGGGACACCCGATATACCCTATGTGACAACTATGAAACCAGCAGACGATTTATGCGACATTTGTCGTGGTAAGTAGATTAATGTTTACTTATCCAATAATTATATCCAACACTAATCGACTTGACTTTTTTTTCTGTCATAGGAAACACGCTGTCGATTGCGCTAACTAAAAACATCTGATATTGAACGAGAACAAAAACTGAATCAATTTCTCGAACATCTCCATAGAGCTCGAAACCAGCGAGCATACTATAAAAGTTGGTGCGAAAATACTGATGATACGGCAGTAGTTCTTTCCTTCGATTTTGCCCAAACGGTTCATTATCCACTTAGTCCGCAGCAGCCGGGTACAGCTTACTTTAAAGCAACAAAGAAGTGTGGAGTTTTTGGAATAACAAACGAAAAATTAAAAATTCAGGTGAGGATATCAAACATTAAAATTGTACGAACTCGAACCACTTGACCTAATTTTTTTTTCAGCATAATTACTTAATTGACGAGAAGGATGACGTGGGGAAAGGGCCGAACTGCGTCGTGAGCATTTTGCATCACCACTTGGAAACCTATTGCGAAGACATCCAAAAACTTGTTATTTTTTGTGACAATTGCGTAGGGCAAAATAAGAACAATGCCGTACTATCGTATTTACAATGGAGAGTTGCTCGAAAACTTAACCAAACGATTTTATTCAATTTCCTTCTCACAGGACACACCAAATTTGCTCCTGATCGCTACTTCGGGATTTTTAAGGCGAAATATGCTACCAGCAATATAGATACGTATGAAGATTTATTGCAATGTGCCGTTGAATCCTCACCCAGTGGTCATAATAAAGCGGTATCGGCGGAGAATGTTACATGGTATCAATGGGATAGCTATTTGAAACCATTTTATCGGCCACTCGTTGGTATAACGCAGTTCCATCACTTCATAATCTGTACGGATTGTGTCAAAACGAAAAAATTCGCTGATAGTGAGGACGTGGACACTTTTCATCTGTTGTTGAAACCTATCGATAGCAAAATGCCGGAAACTATACAACCAGTTGGTTTAACTTTAGAACGCCAATGGTATATATACAAAAATCTTCGCAGTTTAGTCACAGATCCAGGAAAAGATATTACAGCTCCATTACCAAAAGAAAAGTTGGTATCAAAGAAACAAAAGCCCGAATAATCACTTATTTACATGAATTTAACGTAAAATCAAGTGATTTAATTGTAATCATAAATTTGGTAAAAAGAAATATTTTACATTCACTATTAATACCGCCAGAAAAATTAATTGAAGAAATGAAAAATATTAATTTCGAAAATAATCATAAATTTCCTTTTGAAGTATTAATTGACAATGAGTATTTAATTGAAAGTATGTTAAACGTAAAAGCATACCAAAAACGAAACGTTTACGTTTATATCATTCAGGTACCTATAATTGATAATAATGAGTATCAATATTATGAATNACGATAGCGCTATGAGGTTTTCGGCATTAGCAGTTTCTCGAAAAACGAGATCATGACATGTAAGCTACTTTTTGTCTAACTCTTATAGTTTCCGAGTTAGCCTATTCGGACATCGAATTTGAACCACCCTGTACATACACTCGAGTAAGTAAAAAAATCTATTTTTTAAATGCTCATTCGAAAGTACTATACCTTGAGCGCCTACCCTGACAATTTCCAGAAATTACGAAGTTATTACGTTTTGTAACTGACCAGGTAAGTAATAACAAGTAGTAATGGTTCGGGAGCAGGTACTCGCGGTGTTTGTCATCTATTTAATATAAGCCTAATATTTTTGGAAAATCCCCCATTGAATTCCCGGTATTGGAAAAAATAGGTATGGTGATTTATTATTATCTGATCTTGGAGACGAATGGAACGACGAAAAAGTTCGCAACAGAAACATCAATCCGGTGAACTACGGAAGGATATGAGGGAGAAAAGCACCAAAAAATTAACACCAAGCTGAGCAAGAGGATGAGTGTAAGCACAACCGCAAAAAAAAATTAAAAATAAAAAGACAGTGTTTGTTCCTGAAGAGAAAACTATGAACTACCAAATACAATTTTTTCACTGTTTTTACTACTATATCTGAATGTGTGATGAATATGGGAATTTTTATTCTTTTTGATTGCATAATCTCCGATCTTTGAAAGGAGATGAATTGATTAATCGCCTGAGGGAATGGAGATTCATCCTCAAGGAGGGTAACTATAAGTGTCCTGAATGTGAGACCCCCCTTGTGTTACAACATTGCAATAAGGCAAATAATGGATACTTATGGAAGTGCAATGGGCACGTTTCCATTCGGAAACAAAAAAGAAAGAGGTGCGGTAAGGTTGTATCGATTCGAAAAGGCACCTTTTTTACACATTCAAAATTACAAATATGGCAAATTTTAGGGTTCGTGTTTCTTTGGATGGAAAAGGCAAATCTGAACCTCATTGCGAAACTTACCGAGATGTCCTTGCAAACAGCTGTTGATTGGGCGTCGTTCTGTCGAGAGATAGTCCTGGATAAATATCTGTTGCACCCAGAAAGGTTAGGTGGTCCTGGCTCTATTATCGAGATAGATGAGAGCAAGTTTGGTAGAAGAAAATGCCATCGAGGACACCGTGTTGAAGGCCAATGGGTGTTTGGCGGATATGAACGCGGGACGGGTCGCGTCTTCATGGAGACTATGGAAGATAAAAAGGCCGATACCCTGATTCCATTGATCGAAAAGTGGATACTTCCCGGTACCACCATTATTTCAGATTTTTAGAANAATGTCAGTATAACATTAACGGAACCGTAATACAAAATTATTTTAAGATTAACAAAAACTTAAGAAATTTTGTAACCAAAATAAAGTTTGAAAACATTAAAATTGAAAAACATCCTCAAATAATGTTAAAAAATATTACCGGTATAATAGCAAATAATATACCATATTTAAATTTAAACGCAAACAAAAATAATGTATTAAATTACGTATCAATAATAATGATCGTAATTGTTATAATATGCGTCATTTATAAGTATCTACACAGAAGATATCTACATTATAAAACAACAAGAAAAGAAGAGATCCAGGAGAATGTCCAATTTAGAGAGGGAGGAGTTATGTGTCACCCTATCTAAGGAGAACCATGAATCATCCTAGAATCCCCAGAAACTTCCATAAAAAGCCCTTATTCAGCATAAATCTTCTGAAAATAGTATACAAGGCCACGAAAATCTTAATAATTAATTCATTTCACTCGACGTCGTTATAGTGTTAGTTTGAACTTTGTAATTAATTCTAAAAATAAAAATAACTTAATTTTTGAAAAGAGTTTTTAAAAATAAAACTTCTAACTTCAAAAACAAAAGTGATATCAGCTAATAAAATAGATAGGAAGTTACGGGTAAAAGTTTGTTTTTGGAAGGTTTGTTGCTATCGTCACACGGGTTATTTATTTATTTTTATTTTGTAACCATGTATACACATGTTTTTTTTAATAACTATTTTAATTTAAGTAAACTGCTATTAACCCGTATTAACCCATTAATTGCCAACGTTGCGTAAACGCAACATATTGTTTACAATTTTTTTTTAACCGTTTTCAGCTATTTTAGAGTTTCAATTATTTGGTAGTAATTCGAGTATACTATGAAGCTTTCGGGAAAAATTTTAGTTTGGCACAATTTTCAAAATTCAAATTTTGAATTTTGCCGATTTTTAGGTATTCTGCAGCACTGTACTTTGAAATTTATTTGCGACGAGTGACTAACAACTTTTGGATTTTGTCTATTATAAACTATTATCTTTTCGGATCATATTGACGTAAATTTCATTTTTGTAAAAAAAAAATTTTTAACCCTTTGGGTACACTTGACGGCTCACGCTCGTCATGCGCAAATTTTGGCGTAATAACATTTGACGAGTCCGACTCGTCATTTCAAATAACGCAAGCTAAACGGGTGACGGGGAACGCGCGGCGCATGCGCAATACGGCTGTAAAAACGATTTGAGTTTGCCGTGCGCTAATTTGTGATGATTGTTTTATGTTTTTGGTTTTGTTTTTGTTAGTTGTCACTAGCACCTAACGCTATTGCTTTGCGAGTAAAAAACTGAGATTGTTTGACGATATTTAGTTATATTTTATCTCTTCCATAATGTCAGATATTGAAACTGCATTATTCGAAAGTGATAATGAACGAGAAAATGAAGAATTTGATAGAGATGCGTCAATTAGTGAAATGGAAAGTGAAGACAATAACGAATTGGAAGATGATAGTGATAGCGACATACAACCCATACGACGAAGACGCAACAGACTCTTATCGAGTAGTGATAGTGAGTCATCTGATCAACCATTTCAGGAGGAATGGGTTTGGAATGAAACAGAAAATATACCTAATATAAAACAATTTTCCGATATTGCTGGAATCAATCCTATTTGCCTGCGAAGAGTAAGTGATAGTCCTTCGCCATTGAATGTCTTACACCAAGTGCTCACTCAAAGTTTTTGGGATATTATAACAGAAGAAACAAATAGGTATGCTAG